ATATTATTCATAATCAACGTTTTTCGGTTTAGATCGCGTTATTTATAAATGTGTCGTAACCCTCCACCACCCGACACGGCCAATCAGTAAAAAAGTGTCACGTTGACAAAAGACAAATAGTTCACTGCTTTAGCCCACCGGTGTGTTGAAGCGTGAAACCACAACATTTACAATTTGAGTACGACGTTTCGCTGGTAATTGCATCCAGCATCATCGTCGTACTCAAATTGTAAATGTTGTGGTTTCACGCTTCAACACACCGGTGGGCTAAAGCAGTGAACTGTTTGTCTTTTGTCAACGTGACACTTTTTTACTGATTTACCCAAAAACGTTGATTATGAGTATATGAGCAACAGCCTCAATGTCCATTTGACCGGGAAATCACTTTTACATAACATATAATGGGTTTGGAGTGGTGAATCTGCTTGGGTAAATGGTATGGGAAAACCTGGATTCCTAGATAATATTTCACATTGCAGTGCATCATGGGCCTGCCTTCTTCCTGCCCACTGTGTTTAAAGTTCCTCTCATTTCCAACTCAGAGAGGCAGGAAGAAACCTCTGGCATGTGTATCCTCTTGCAGATCAAAGTTACAAATTCCCCCCACCACAAACATAAAATCAGTGAGTATATATTTCTTGAGGAATGTTTCTCCCCCATCTCCTACGTAATAATTGGCTCTACATATCATTATACATATTGTCTTATGCTTCATTAAAAAAAATTGTATTGAAATAAATATTGTTAATTCTGGTGCACAGGAAATACGCTTGTGTTTATGCACAGCACTAATCAAACTAATACGCATTGCATTTTTATCGTGAAGGGGAAAAACATCTCCACGTATATGCCCAAATTTCACGGAAACCCCCCCACACATTTACTCGCAAAAATGTCTGTTTATTGCCAAAAAAAACTTGCAACGGTTCTTTGGCAATTTGTGTGAAATAGGACGTTGCAGCAGTAGTACCAAACCACTGTGTCTCATTAAACTTGCACAGGGCACTGTTAAAATATTGTACTTGTCCTCCTTGGGGTAAATTCAACTCTCAGTTGGCTGCTTGGCATCTCTGGAGCCAATTCTGTGCGTGTATGAGCCAGCAGCTGATATAAATTTTACTTTGCAGTTCACGTTGAGGTTATTCCAGTGGCATCATCAATCCAATCCTTAGCCGTCTCTGTGGATACAGAGAAAATTAAGTACTGCAAGGTATATTTTTACATCTTAACTATGCACCTCCTACCATTGTATCCTTGAGGATTTTCCTGGAGGCTGTATGTGCAGTCATTAGTGTAGATTTATACAGAGACATACCCGAGCGTGGGTGAATGTATTATATTTAAAATATTTTAACGTCATCTACAACGCATGGTATGTAATGTCTCGTACACAATGTCGCATCTTGAATATATAACGTTACATAGAAATTGGTTTTACTCCACTGAACATTTTATTTCTGCCACAGTAAGTAATTTGTCAACCAACTGCCTGAAATTGTACGTTTATTTACCTGTTGATGGGAGATTTATTAATACATTTTATTCCAACGACTTTACATCCATGAAGCATTTTTTTGCGAGTTAAAAGTAGCCGACCGAATAAACCCATAAACTGGCCGAAATTAGCCTGTGGGATGAAAAATTCGCCACGTTTGAAGATAATAGCGCCTGAATGCCTCGCATAACCTACGTTAGAACCGTGCGACAATGCGAGTCATGAACCGATTGTTCGATGCGACGATGGCAAGTGGCAGCGTGAGGAGATGCTGTGTGCGAAGATGCCTTTAAACCGCGTGGAGAAAGGAGAACATTGATTTATTGACATTCCCCTAAGCCTTCAGAGCTGCTTTTCTCACTTTGTTAGAACTGCAGTCCCCATGCATGCAGCTCCTTTTACCCAAGTGCCATTTAAAATAGATTTTCACACCGTTATGCACCAAACTGCTATCCATAAATTTGAAATCACAAATCATGTTTTTTTTTTTTAAACTGATGAATACAGAAAGCTGGATAAGCTATGAATATCTATTGTGTTGTCCAAATTACAGCACACCCATTCATTCTCGCTTTTTTTTGCTCTCCAACCCAGTAAAGCATACAATAATTTATTAAGCACATTATTTATTTGGGTATTTATTACAATGTGCATTCATGGTTTATTTTTTTTTTACTGAGTTGGCAGTCGTGTAGAAGCACAGTAACAAAAAAAAACGCTTCTCAATTGTGAATAGCGCCACCATAAATGGGATATATATATATATATAACAGGTGACCTTTAGAGCAATGGCGCTTAGCCTGTGCTATGAGATAAAGGGTAATTTCAATTAATGTTGCCTATAAGCCCACATGCAATTGTGGGTGTGTTAACAGAAAGCATTTAGCATCGTAAGGGACAGTTCTGTAATTTTACTTTGGCTACCCAGAGTATTCGGCTATCCCTAACCCTTATGCATAGCAGAGACACATATTTCTCTACGATTAAAGATGGGCCACTTCCAAAAAACATCACCTGCGATATGTGTGTGTGTGTATATATACTCATTCTCTTAGCTTTTTCGGTAAAGTCACGTAGGTAAAAAATGAAATTAATAAAAGTACGTGACTTTACCGAGTATGAATCCTTGCAGTCACGAAAGCTTCAAATCTAGAATATATATATACCCATTTTGAAAAAATGTTATTGACAAACGTTTAGAGCTTTAGTATTCAGCATAGTAGCCATACCACCAGGCATGCCTCATTTTATTAATAAATTATGGCAGAAACTTGAATCAAAGCGAATTTTATCGTCGGCCACGTTTTGTTCGTGAAGGATGCTGCATTATCAACTCACTCCAGCTTCGCTTTTTTTTTTGCAAAATAACACCGCTAAATGTTTGAAAGCCATACGCAGGTGGCACAGAAGGCTTAAGAGCCCCTTTGGGAAGAAGCGAAATGTTTATTATTCTCGCAAACCCTTAACACAGCAACACAGGCTTGGCTCGGGGTTCAAATAAACAGCAACAGCATCTTGACAGCGTGATTGCTTTTAAGCTCAAAAATTAAAAGCAGCATACCTAGATAAGAACGATTTTAATCACCATGCATTGACAAAGAGCATGCAACGGATACTAAGAAGCATTGCAAAGAAGCGCAGGGAAGTGCTTTCAATTGCACTGCAGGACAATGAGAAGAACATATGGAGTAGACTCACGTAGGTTAAAAAAAAAATTGAAATTAATAAAAATAAAATAATAAAATCACGACGTTTCGGAGGCAACACAAGTCTCCGTCATCAGGTGGGACCGTCACAGCCAGATTTGCTGCATCAAGTGACTTGCTGCATCAAGTGATGCAGCAAATCTGGCTGTGACGGTCCCACCTGATGACGGAGACTCGTGTTGCCTCCGAAACGTCGTGATTTTATTATTTTATTTTTATTAATTTTAATTTCAATGTTTTTTACCTACGTGACTTCACCGAAAGAACTAAGAGTATGAATCCTTGCAGTCACGAAAGCTTCAAATCTAGAAATATGGAGTAGAGACCACATGCTTGTGAGAGATGTCATAATGACTCTTGGGCAAAGAAAAGGCCCATTGGATAGCGGAAGATGCACATGGAATGGTGGCACATGGCCAAGACTAACAACGGACTGGCAGCCGAAAGGAGGGAAAATACCTGCGGGGATTTCCACCGTGGAGTTTAAGCGGTGTCGTTGGCGCACCGACTGACGTCAAATCGAAATTAAAGCGTTGTCAGCCCTGCCCTCGGCCCTGCTTGGCTCTGAGCAATATTCAGACGCCAGTGTGCCGCGATTTTTGTTCCAAATCAGCCTGGCGAACAACCAGTGGAAAAATTTCGATTTAAAGCTTTCGTGACTGCAGGGATTCATCTTCTTGGTTCTTTCAGTAAAGTCACGTAGAAGGGAAATAATAAAATAATAAAAATAAAACATAATAAAATAATTCTCACGACGTTTCGGCCACAACGCAAGCAGCCGTCCTCAGGTGAAGACCAGGTCTGTCGGGGAGACAGCGTCTGAATGAAACACCACCATGCTTGGAGCGTGTATTTAAGCTGGGTTGGAAGGGGAAGAGCGCCTTGACGAAATAATTTGCATATCAAGAGGAATTTATCATATTTATGGGAAATGCAGATATGTGATTAGTATTACTTGTGAAATGCGTACCAGTGGAAAACCCACCCTGTACCCACGAGGACACACGCTTGCTTGGCATGTGCATGCCAGTGGAAATTTTATTTTATTGTACAGTAGTGTGTTATTTAAACATTCGGATAAGACTTAGCTTAACGTTAGATGGAGGTGACTTTGTAGAATATCATTATGCATAGACGGTGAGTACGGGTCTCAAAGGGTCTAGCACTGAGCCCAGCACAGTTGAGATACTGGCCAGGAATGCAGGTTTCAGCAACCCATAACTAAACCGGGTCCTCAAGTTCAGCGAGCACATGGAATCAGCCTGGTCACCAACGACTGCACAAACTACCCACTATTTTAAGTCCGTTTTATTTTTGCTTCATTTGGAAATGAAACTATACTCCAGCTTTAAAGCTTCCGTGACTGCAGGGATTCATCTTCTTGGTTCTTTCGGTAAAGTCACGTTGAAGAGAAATAATAAAATAATAAAACATAATAAAATAATTCTCACGACGAGGTCTGTTGCTTGCGTTGTGGCCGAAACGTCGTACGTTTAATTTTTATTATTTTATTATTTCCCTTCTACGTGACTTTACCGAAAGAACCAAGAAGAATAATACTCCAGCTCTTCCACCATTGGCTGAAAATATTAGCATAACTCCATTCTTACTTGTACAGGAAACCACTGTCACGTGACATTGAGTGGCCACATACACCCTCAGGATATATGCAACGTTCAATAACATGGCTTTTTTTGTGTTTCTCCTGATGTTACCTGTAATGTGTGTCTGGCTTGCTCAATTTGCCGATGTTGATGGAATATGCTGCTTCTCCTCTTACCTCCACCACACCCCTGCAGGATTTGAACTCCCAGAATCAAGAGAATAATTGGCACTTGTATGACGTTGCCTTCACTGCAAATCAGTCGGAATGATGCCACAGACTGAACTCCCTTTCCTCTTGGCCTTCATTAGTCAACTTGTAGGTAAGGCTGCTGTCATAACCCCATCTCATATCTGACGTGTACTCCTCTAACGAATGCAGAAGGTGTGAAAATAAGGTAAAAAAAACGTGTTTTTTTGTAAACCTTCAAAGTGAAAAAATATTTAAGTGGGCTGTGAATAGTGATAGGGGTAGGGGTAGTGGTAGGGGTAGGAGTAGTGATAGGGGTAGGGGTAGTTTTAGGGGTAGTTATATGGGTTGGGGTAGTGATAGGGGTAAGCCTGGTCATAGCTGGGGGGCTGAGGTAGGGAGTAGGATACAGATAGGGAAGGGAGATGATATGGGGTTTAGGCATACCATTCACTAAGAATGGTTCCAATAAACCACAGAGCTTTGCTTAAAAAATATATGGATTATTTTATTTAGAGAATTCACACAAAAATAATTGCCATATACTTTGCAATATACATTCCCAACCTTCAGCACAGATACATATAAACAAAGGTTTTGAAACTACTTGTTTGTTTACTTCAAAATTAGCAACTATCAGCAACTCTAAAAATTCAATCAATTAACCTACTTGGCCATACTCTGTGGTTCTTTCGGTAAAGTCACGTAGGTAGAAAAAGAATAGATCACGACGTTTCGATCGCAACACAAGCAATCGTCAAAAACTGCAGTTTTTTCTTGCTGTGGTTGTCCCACCTGATGACGATTGCTTCTGTTGCGATCGAAACGTCGTGATCTATTATTATTTTTCTACCCACGTGACTTTACCGAAAGAACCAAAGAGTATGGATTCCTGCAGTCACGAAAGCTTCAAACCACATGGCCATGTCAGTCGCTCAAGCCCTCAGAATTGAGGTCTTTAAACTGCTGCCGAGGTTGGGCGAGGATTCGGCATATCCAGTTTAAAAATAAACCACAATGGTGAAACTAAATAATTACCACACTTTCTCTTTGGCAACTTTCGCTCTGAATAGTTGGGTGCAGCCGCAGGATGATTGTTGCTGCAATGTTCCACGTGTCATGCCAATTCGTCACTAGTACAGCACACCGATAAATGTTGTGACTTGGCTCTCCAACACACCGGTGTGCTGTACTAGTGACGAATTGGCATGTTCTGTTTACGTGACAACCCTTGGTGGCGGGTTTTAACGACACATTTAGATATTTACGCGATCTAACCCAAAAACATCTATTATGGATACTCTTCTCTAATTCCACTCTCATCTCTGTACCTCTTGCCCAATTCCAATTGGCTTGTTAATTATTACAATAGTTACAAAGGACATCAGAGATTGTTGAGATTATGATCTGTGGGAAAATAATCATGAGATATGCACACATAATATCAGATGTCACTACCTTGTTCTACAAAGTGTTTTGGTTGATCCTTGTACCCATAATATAGGCGTTTTGGGTTAGATATCGTACATATAAGATAAATAGAATATTTACGCGATCTAACCCCCAAAAAAACCCTCTATCATGGTTAATATTGGTCGCGAAAGCCAACGTGTTAAATTGATCCTTGTAAGTTTGCTATCTCTCTGCCTCATCCGAGCTCTGCATTTCCTCTCCTGCAATGATTCATATTGCGCAGCATTCGTTTTCCAAGTGATTTTTTTTTTTTTACCAAATTGGAACTTGTTCTCCGCTCAAAATTTTCCAATTATATTCCAACTGTGCTATCAGCCTCGTGTCGCGAGACGGAGAATCCTCTTTGCGACTCTTGCAGAGTATTGTAAACCCCCGCCCTCTGTGAGAAAACACCAGGGGCACACTTTCCCGTACCCCCTGCTACATGATAAACCATTTTGTGTCGTCCATTCTTAGGGCTGGAATTGAACGAAAATTATGCACACACAACAACAAAAAACACACACACACATTCAATGTGACGTTTCATGTAGGCATTGGTCATTGGGCCGCGATTATAAACGCATTACACTTCAATCTTAATTTGAAGCTTTCGTGACTGCAGGAATCCATACTCTTTGGTTCTTTCGGTAAAGTCACGTAGGGAGAAAATAAATTAAATTATTTCATACCGACGTGACTTTAGCCGAAAGAACCAAAGAGTACGCATTACACTTGAGAACCCCAGTTTAATCACGGTGGACTCTAACCACGTTCTAAGCTCAGAAGAGCAGTGGTGCTGCCTGTATTGCTCTGACCTGAGTCACCATGCCACCTCCACTTTAAGGACAATATTTTTTAGTTTAAACAATCGCCGAAATGGGACGCTGCCACGGTGTCATAGCGAGCACACGAGATTTGCGATCCAGACGTTACTGGTTCGATCTCCCGGCACGGCAATTAAAACAATGGTACAAGTTTCTTAAATCCCGCTTCCCCATCTCTGCCCACCCAGCCGGTATAGGTGGCTTCCACCACAGATAGTCGATCGGCAGCTCAGGAGTGGTGCGATAAAGGGCGGGTACACCCACATCTTGCAAGACATCCGGCCAGTGTGGAAGAGCAGGCCAAACATCCTCGAGCGGAGCTCTCGAGAGCTCCCGCTAGTGGAGTTTCCTTCTGCCAGCAGTGGTACGAGCAAGCAATTGCAGGGCTGCGCCTTCATTTAATTTTATAATTGCTTAAAAAAGACGCGACTTCCAAAAGCGACTGTCAAAGACACGGACGATTGGTGCGGAGTTTCCTTTTTGCAAATGCGTAGAAGATACAAAATAAATGAGGGTGTAACGAGGGGATTGGTAGACGGTGGGGAAGAAAACCAGAAGAACTAAACGACACAAAGGATCAATGGCACAGAGGCATGAGTGGGGACTGTTTAAATTATTTTATGCTCTTTGTGATAAGCTAACAATGTGACCCCATGCACTCCGACGTAATAGTAGTAGCGCTAAATCAATATTGAGGTGACCTTTGAAGAGTTTGTGCCTCCCTCGAAGCTCAACTCATTAAAATTACAATATAAAAAATATATTATTTGGTTCTTTCGGTACAGTTACGTAGAGAGAAAATAATAATGACAATAATAAAAATAAAAACCACGATGTTTCGATCGTAGCACAAGCGGTCGTCGTCGTGGTTTTAATTTAAAAATGTTTTCCAATCTACGTGATTTTACCGAAAGAACCAAATAATATGAATTACAGCAGTCACGAAAGTTTTAAGTAAAAAAATAAAATCATCGTAAATTACCTAATTGCCAGCGTACGCCACAGAATAATGCTGCATGCACTTCGACACACGGCGCCAAACGCACGTTTCGATTGTCGCCAGTATCCGCACGTTTAAATTGTCGCACCTTCCCTTTGAAAAACGTCGACTGACTGACGACACAAAACTACTCCGCTCGTGAAGTTGGACGCTGTTGCCTCGCGCACTGAGTCTTCGGGAGGAGGGGGAGGGGGTCGGGGGGGGATTCCTGAGACAGACGAAACGATACCGCCAACAAAAGCAAGCACCGAGGCAGGAGGCGGGCATGCTTCGTGTAAAACCAGCGTCCGGTAAATTTCGATTTAAAGCTTTCGTGACTGTAGGGATTCATCTCCTTGGTTCTTTCGGTAAAGTCACGTAGAAGGGAAGTAATACAATAATAAAAATAATTTTATTTTTTATTATTTTAATTAATAAAAATAATTTTATTTTTATTATTTTATTACTTTATTACTTCCCTTCTACGTGACTTTACCAAAAGAACCAAGAAGACAGCGTCCGGTTTTTACATCTCATTTCTTCTTTGCAGCCCAGGAAAACCGGCAGCATGGGCCAGTGTTCGTGGAAGAGCCCAGCGACGTGATGTATTCGGTGGAATCGACGGAAAGGAAGGTGGTCTTCAACTGCCAGGCGCAGGGAAGCCCTCTGCCCACGTACAGGTGAGGGGAAACAATTGAAGTGACTCAATAAATTGATCGATGGAAAATGCCAGTGAAGGTGTGAGCGTAATTGTGATGAGAGAATTTTCTTGTTACTTGAATTCTTGTCCTAATACAAAGTAGCTCCCGGGTGGTCATACGTGTGGATTTTGCTGTTTTTTGTTACGTTTAAGACTTGCCATTTTTTTTTTACGTTACACTTACAATGCTTGATGGTACGAATTTGTCACACATATTCGTGAATCACACATGCTCGGAACATCTGTGATTCTTCCGGTTTAGATAAATAATAAATATTACGATTGTGATACTGATTACGAGACGCAGGTTTTTTTTTCCCGTAATTTTTTGAAGCCAAAGTTGGCAGTGCGCCTTACCTCCCGGAGCACATTGTAACTTGGAGGATACGTCAATTGTCATTGCAGGGTTAATTATTTTGTTTAACCTTAATCTTGTACTTTATTACGAACAACATTTAGGCGTTCATATGTGTGGAAGGGGCGTTTATCTTCAGTGCACATCCCTGAGCCTGTGACGGAAATTCGACATTCCTTTGATGGGGATGAATCCCAACCAAAGGGCAACCGTTGTTGACTTTTAGCTCTGCTGATGTGCCACCTTGCCAGCTATATATCTAGTTGATATTCTATAGCATATTGCACACATATTAGTACATAACACGTTGTACAACTAATGTACAAAACAGAAGCTGAAAACAGTTTTCCACTTTCAACATCAACGGACACTGCCTTAGAACGGAATCAATGAGAGCACTGATGAGTTGGAGTGATGACATACATTCATGTTCAGGTGCTAGGTGCATCATTACTACATCACAGGATTGTGAGATGTGGTGGTGACTTGGGGATGACTTCATCCAGCAGTGGATTGACCACGACTGTTGATGACGACAATGTCTGTATGACACCACGGCTCCTTTGTCAACAGTTGGTGACAACACCAGTGATATCTATAGTACCTTTTTTGCCAGTATCAAAAAGGTCCCATAGATATAACTGCTCAACCCAAGCTATTCATACATTGATACTTGTGTTGACTTTGTACTTTTGGCGTTCTGTGGTCTAACACTGGGCTATAGAGAAGGCTATATCTGGTGTAGGCCATTCCGTTTCAAAGACAAGGCATATATTATCAGAGCTTGTTTGTTTACTTGTTTTGCCACAAGTGCGTGTGGTTAATGCAAAGTCTATTCTTTGCAAAAAGTTTCTATTTGGTGTTTGAGCATCTTAACACCTCCTGTTTTATTGCCAGAAAGGGTAAAGCCTCGTCTTATTTTTGTTTCGACAAGACCAGTCATGCATTTTCAACCTTCCCTTTCTCACCGATGCCAACGCCGTCCATGGAGTTGCGTTTAATGTTACGGAAGGCCCCGTGTTCTTAGCGCAATGTTCAGCGGACCGGCTCATTGAACTCATTAGGTGGCGAGTGCTGACAGTGGCGACAACAGCGACACGCAATGGCTTGGATCTTTGCACGCACTGCTGTGGGATTCCGAACACGGCTAGTGTCTGCAGAACAGCGAGCTCAGCGTTGCTGTGCCCAGCGCAGCATACCGAGGAAGGGATTGCTTTCTGAGCCAGTGAACCCTACCCCGGGCTCTCTCGCACACGCTGAATCCGCAGAGGTTTACCCCACCCACCCATCCATAGCCACCCACCATGCAAGCCAGCCACCCACCCAAACCACCCACTAATCCAGCCATCCACCCATACCCACCCATATATGCCCACCCACCCATTCCTACCTACCCATACCCACCCACCCAGCCACCCACTCGAACAGCACGTCCAACATACCCACCCATTCCTCACTACCCATAGCCACCCACCTACCCAGCCACTCACCCACCCATGCCCAGCCACACATTCCAACCTACCTATCCATACCTACCCACCCAGCCACCCACTCGAACAGCACGTCCAACATACCCACCCATTCCTCACTACCCATAGCCACCCACCTACCCAGCCACTCACCCACCCATACCCAGCCACACATTCCAACCCATTCATTCCTCTCTACCCATACCCACCCACACATTTCTACCTACCCATACCAACCCAACCAGTCACTCACACACACCCACTCACCCATTCCTACCCACCCAGCCACCCAACGACCCAAATCACCCACCAACCCATCCAGCCACCCAGCCACACACGGACAATGTGCGATAGTCATGCTGGGGCGGGTGGGGGAATTGGATTTGCTTTGAAATCAGTTTTGCCAGCAAATTTCTGTGATTTGCATATTCGAACAAGGGCGAGTTAAACAAAATAAATATACTAACTCGGCTCCCCCCCCCCCCCACTCGAACAGCACGTCCAACAGGTGCTGACGTAATCGTAACCAGGTGGGCCATTTTGTTCGTTGGAAAAGAAACAAATAATACGGAGTGAAGATGCTCAAAATGATGGCATTATTTATTGCAGGAATAAAACGATTTTGGGGTGGGATTGGGTGGGGGTGAGAGGCGTGGGGGGCATGCAGGGAGAATAAACAAATTGGATCTTGTTGGAGGGCAGGGGGGCGGGGTGTTGACGTTGGGTAAACTGACACAAATCGAATCCCTTATGAAATAAGCCATTAGTCTGGCCGAGCCAACGGAACACATTTCGTTGGAGATTAAATATTCATAACGAGTGCGCATTCGGATGGAAACAATTCTTGGATGCGAGATGTTTGAGGCGCGCGCGCATCGGGAGACTGTTTGCATAACTTGGCAGTGCTCAAAAAAGCCGACGGATAATCTGAGTTTGTTGACAGAAGCGAATATGGCTTAAAGCAGCACTTTTGAACGGAGCCATCCAGAGCCATTAACAAGGCACTGCTCGTAACTTCTTGAGTACGTGTAACATTCAGACGTGAAATACCGCGAGTGCATTAACAACGATGCCTTTTGAGGGATTTCAGCGTCTTCCCTACACTCGGAGGGACCGGTTGTACAAAATGTTTCCGGGAAAGACAATGTGCTGACCTGTCAGATCATCCCAAATCCTTTTTTTTCAGAATGGCTGACGACATTCCTAGTGGAATTACTCAGCTCTCGCTCAAGAGCTGAGCTCTGGATATGAACGCAAAATCTGCTCAAATACCGCGACTTTTGCTCCTGTGAAATGGCAAAGCGGTGTGGGTGATCTTGCACACATATCAGCTCCATGCTAGTCGTTACTTTATCTGATATTTCAGTTGAGTCTAGTTATAACCGATTAACCAATTTGTATATTTTGTCTTCATCTTGGCTCTTTCGGTAAAGTCACGTAGAAGGGAAATAATAAAATAATAAAAATAAAACATAAAATAATTCTCACGACGTTTCGGCCACAACGCAAGCAGCCGTCCTCAGGCCAAGAACAGGTCTGTCGGGAAGACAGTGTCTGAAATTGTATATTTTGGCTAAGGCATGTGTATGTTCAGATACTCTGTGCGGTAAAGAGAGTGGTGCATGCAGTGTGTTTAGAATTAACTCTTCACCATGCCATGCCATTCAGCGGCTATCGCTACAGCAACTCACATTATTCTGCATTCAGGATCATCAGTTCAATAATACTCAAACGGGTTAATTATTGAGCAAAAAAATCAGGCGATTGACTACTATAATGCCATGCATCACATCATGAAAAAAACATTTCCACTTTGACGTTGAATGTTGCCTGATATTAACTCGGATAACATTTTCATAAAATGCATTTAATAATAGTCGTGGTAATAATTACAATCATTTACATTTATAAATCGCCCTTTAAACAATCGTTATCAATCCACTAAGCATGAAAAGGCGGAATTCGTTCATACCAACAATAATGCAAGTGTGCGTCAGATGCTACTTTACAAGCAGAGTGCAGCCTTCACTGCCCGCTTGGAGACACCACCGCTGCGACTCATGGCTGACCAATTAGGTGGCCAGGGACGTGTTGGCTCTCGTCAAAATAACACACCCCGATCGCGCTGTTATTGCTGCCGGGCAGCTTGGCATTTTGGCACGATATTCTTAGGTTTTTTCGGTAAAGTCACGTAGGTAAACATTTTAAATTAAAATTACTTGATACAGCTATCGTGCTGTGACGGTTCCACCTGAAGACGGAAGCTTGTGTTGCCTCCGAAACGTCGTGATTTTTATTAGATTTTTATTTACTTTAATTAATTTAAATTTAAATTTTTTTACCCACGTGACTTTACCCAAAAAACCTAACAATATGAATCCTTGCACTCACGAAAGCTTCAAATCTACAATTTTGGGACGACTTCGTTCCTGTGCTCAGCAACGGGTGGATGGGAGGGGGGGACAAATATAACTCGGAGGCATTTGTCTTTGTCGTCCAGGTGGATGAGAAACGGCACGGAGGTGTCTGTGGGGGGTCGCTACGGCGTCGTCAGCGGGGGGCTCGTGATCTCGCACCCGGCCGAAGGGAAAGACGCCGGCACCTACTACTGCCTCGCCTCCAATGCCGTGGGGACCGTGCGGAGCAGGGAGGCTGCCCTGCAGTTTGCTTGTGAGTACTCACAACAACAACAACAACAGCAGCAGGAGCAACAAACAACAACAGAAGCTTTGCTTAGAAGTTGCCAGGGCAGATGCATGATCTGGCAAGGGGTTGTTGGCATCGATTCGTAGCTCAAGGCGGCCGGAACTTTTGACAAATCCCTTGCTGCTGCAGCAGCAGCCGCCCACGAGTAAAATAGGAATGTTCGCAAGTTGGTTGTGGTAGGATAGAATGCGAGTGCGTGTTGGCATTCTATTAAACAAAAAAAGCCTTCTGTGATTTGGGAGAAAAGCAGGGTAAATACCCCGTGAAGGATGGATACTGGCCGTATACTTTCCATCTGCAGCAATGGAGGTGCAACGATGCGTCAATTTCGTCCATTCATTTGGATTCTACGTTTCACGATAGGCGCGCGTAAGAAATGAACGCTTTCCCAACGTGACGCACATTGTTCGAGACGCTGCCAAGCTGTGGCGGTGAGCGAACTGGACGATTTGGCGCTAGGCGTTTTTTTCGCACGGAATTGGCACTCGCGTATCATTCGCCGCGCGTGTCGCGCGCTTGAGGATCGATTTTGATCGGGGAATTAATGCGCGCTTAGCGCACGCCAACTGGGTGGGGAAGGTGTTCTGCGGCAACGTCACATTTACCCGTACAAATAAGCGAGGGATGCTGCCACAGTGGCGCGGCAGTTCGAGCACTGGACTTGCATCAATCGCGAGGTCGCCAGTTCAATTCCATCGCTAGGTGCGGTGATTGAAACTTTACAATTAGTGAAAGAGAGCTTCACGGCTCGTTGGATTCCTCCAGGATAAATAAAGATGCCGAGTCTGAAACACCGGTGCAAGTTCCTTGAATTCCGCCACCACCCTCCCGCCTCTGTCCACCCAGCAGCGAAAATGGGTTGACTGTAGCTGCCCGATCGGAAGGTGGCACGTGGTGGGATAAAGTGTGGGCACTCGACACCTCTTACAAGGGTTCTGTCCGGCGTGGGCGAGATGGCCCGAATACCTTGAAAGAAGTGCCCTATGGAGGTCCCATAGTGGAGGCTCTTCCGCCAGCGGTGGTTGTGAGCAGGCAATTATAGGGCTGAACCTTTAACACTTTGTCATACGTGATGGCGGAGGATATGTTCACGTTTTTTCCCCATCTTTTTTCTTCTGAAAATGTTTGTTTCAGCTCTTTCATTAAAAGGCCGATTTCAAAAGTAACCCCGTGGGTCAGAGGTGAAATTGTAAGGGGAATGCGGTAGTCGCATGCACCTGACCTTTTAAAATCGGCCAATCGAATTGGATAAATCCCTGTCTGCCTTCAGCATCGTGAATTTGCCCTGTGTGCTGCATTTGGATTTGGTGAATCAGTCACAGACAAATGCAATAGCAGCGTAAAACGCTAAGTTAATATGTACAGAGTGAAATATGTATGTATATGTGTGCATACCGTATTCTCTGAATTATGTAATTCTACCAAATTACCCAACTTTTAAGATTGCCGGCTCTAACACACGAATCAGAAAATGTGCACACCGACAAAGAACACAGATCAAAGGCTGCCGTGACACACAGATAATCATGGAGAGGTCCATGCTGGAAATTGCACTGAGAGACAGAAGGAGGAACGCATGGATCAGAGAAGAAACACATTTTAGAGACATCATGTGGACCAGGCCACTGGATGAGCCTGCTGATGAAATGGCAGTCAAAGTAGGGAACATGCTCAAGAGAATGAGCACCACAAAGATGGAGCGACATCAATAATAATGATAGCCTGTGCATAAGCGACACCACAATACTGAGATGGATGGTGATGATCTGGAGAGGCTTTCCAGCTGTTGATAATTATTTTCGGTGACACATTCATTCGGCATCGTTGTTGCCACTGCAATCGGTATGTTGTTTTTTTTTTGCTGCACACAATACAGTGGACATGATGTCTATGCGAAGTCACACAATACACATATTGTCACTTGCCTAAAGGATCCCCATCTCTCCAGCATCAGTGGACTGTCAAGTTAAGGCAGTACACCGAGGTCGCTTCGTGCCACAGGGGGATCACACTGAGCCAGCATCCGTATTCAAATCTGGGCAGTCTGCCACGCGTACGGTCCTCAAGTGTGGCGAGCTGATAGACTCATGCTGGTTTGCCAATGGCAGTAACACAAACTATGTATACAGTTATATTTACCTGAATCTCCACATTGCGAGATGCTCCTGAAAGCAAGACTCAGCCCAAACTCGTGTCCGGTGTCAGTAAAGCTGTTACAAATCTTGGCGAAGAGGAAGACACGCGGCTACTGGATTATAAGATGAAACTCCAACGTGTGCTTTAAAATGCAGGGGAATGCAAGTGCATCTTTTAATGTGGACAATACGGCAGATATTTCGTTCACTCGCACCGGCTCCCATAGTCCACGTCAACACGCTGTCCATGTTTTGTTCATATATCCATAATGCAGGTTGTTTTATTGGGTTAGATCACGTCAATATGAATGTATCATTAAACCCGCCACCACCCCTTATGTTCATATATATACAGTAAAACCTTTGATGGCGAGTAACTTGGTCTACGAGTGTTTTGCAAAACGAGCAAAATAAAAAATATTTAATTTGATAAACGAGCGAGGTCTTGCAATACGAGTAGTACGTGTATACGCTTTGTCTGCCGAGCGTCACGTGATCACAACTGATATACGAGTGCTTTGATATACGAGTGCTTTTGATTACAACCACGTTTCCGGAACGAATTATGCTCGCAATCCATGGTTTTACTGTGTGTTTAACCTATTACATTGCTTGTTTGCATGGGACATGAGTTACAAAATACATGTTTTAGAAACATTTGTGAGCAAGTCAATATCTTGCCTTGCTCGTAAACGTGCCACGAAGCTTGACGTTTTCTCCTCACTGGAGTTTCACGTGATATTGGCAACAACATAACAACACATACACGAATACATGAAATAGGAAACAAAAATATTTGTTTTCAAGCTTGATAAAACGTATGCCAAGCTCGGGAGAGAAAGAAAAAAAACACATCAAGACGTTTTCGTTTGATTTAAATATACAAAGTACTTCTAGATTTTAAGCTTTCGTGACTGCAAGGATTCATATTCTTAATTTTTTTCGGTAAAGTCACGTTGGTAAAACAATTTAATTAATAAAAATCAAATAAAAATAAAATTAAAAAAATCACGACGTTTCGGAGGCAACACAAGCTTCCGTCTTCAGGTGGAACCGTCACAGCACGATAGCTGTATCAAGTGAGAGAGAAGTACTATTTGTGGTTTGTACAGATATATATAAAGTGTCCCACAAGTGTGGGAAGTGGGTGGCTGCAGTCGTAGTTAATTTGCATTGTCATCTTCACTGGCACGTAAGTGGTGCGCTGCTCCTTGGCAGGGTTACGGTTATAAATGTCTTCATCTTGTGACACGATACCAGGAAAGGGAATCGAAAGATACTTGGAAAAAAAGATAACGTTTGAAACTATTGAACAAAAATAATCAGGGGAATGTCACCGATCGGTATATGCTTGCTTTTAAATTGCTCGTATTTGACGATTAAATGAATTATTTTGACGATTAAATGAATTATTAACGTTCATGGACATCAATATTCGTGTAATCCTTTAACTGAATTCTTCATAAAAATAATGTACGATAAATTAATGTTGTGGTTACAGGCACTTTAGAGGAAGTATTTGTTTTTATATTTACACTTGGTAGGTATCATCTATGATTACAAACGTGGCAGATTTGTTTTAATATATATTTAACCAAAGCGGTAAAGTCACGTAGAAGGGAAGTAATAAAATAATGAAAATAAAACATAATAAAATAATATAATAAAATAATATAATAAAATAATTTTATTATGTTTTATTTTTATTATTTTATTACTTCCTTTCTACGTGACTTTACCGAAAGAACCAAGAAGATAAATTCCTGCAGTCACGAAAGCTTTAAATCGAAATTTAACCAAAGCGTTAAGAGATGAGAGGGTGGCTCAGAATGCAGAGCACAGACCTGGCCCTGCCAAGATTCTGGGCAACTCCCGATCAATAAACCGCGTGAACCATAGGTCAAGAGGGCACTTGAAGCGATCTCAGAGGTAGTTCTCTGATATCCACTTTCAGCGGGCCATTCTCTTGACACACAAGGGGTCGCTCTGAATGGATAGCAGTGAGAGAAAGGAAAAAGAAACGCTTACGAATGAAATTAAATTAAATAATTAATCGGATAATACTGATGTCATACAATGAATCCAAGTTTGCAATTTAAGCATCCTTGTCTTCAACATGGCTATAATGTTGGTATTGACGACAGTTCTGAACCGGAGTTGTGTTTTACAACACATCAAGCAATCATTAGACAGTCTACTCTATAAAATCTTGATTTGAAGCTTTCGTGACAGCAGGAATCCATACTTTTTGCTTCTTTCGGTAAAGTCACGTAGGTAGCAAAATAAAATAAAAAGTCATAAATCACGACGTTTCGATCGCAACACAAGTGGTGGGCCTCAGGCGGAAAAAAATAATCCAGCAGTGGAACTGCTGAACCAGGAAGAACTCAGCGAGAGAGCTGTTAAACATTATGGAGAATCCACTTTTCAACCCAGTGGATGTTTTTATTGATAACAATCCTTCACAGGCGCTAACAAGATCAGGTAGATAAAACATGCTTTTGATCCGGCAAGAATATAGATTTAAGCATTCACGTTCCTTTAACGTATGGAAACACTCCGCAATTTAATCAAATCACCCAATTTTCTTCAACATAGTAATTGTCTCCACTTCAATCAGATGTCTCATGTGTACGCATAAAAAAACTAAAACTATTTAAATACTAAGTCTGAGCTGAAGTCTCAAAGCGTTGTTGCTCAAGACATTGACGGTTTATCATCGCCGGTGCAACTTGGCGCCAGAAGCCAAGGCAGTAGCAACTATAAAACGGCTGTCCTGTCTGGTGGGAGATTCACATCACAAGCATTGCTCGGTGTGCCCGGGCGATAACTTCAGCACGATAGAAATTCCCTGGAGCTGCTGACAAAATTGTGCTGCCGATTTACTTTTTTTTTAATCTTGAGCCTCCCAATTCCTTTCCAAAATGCGTATTAACCTTTTACAACGTTGAAATGCGTTCTTTCCGCGGTGCTTGAACCGGTCCACGGCCCCACATTATGCTGCTGCAATCAGAGGAGTATTTATTGTTTATTCCGGTAGGATTATACAACGATGCGGGGTCCTCTCTCCAGATCCATCAGCGAATTGCCACCGCAGTACGAGCGAACCGTGATTGTGGCCGTGTATCCCCTCTGGGCCAGATCTGGAGAGCTTCCGCACCAAGCACCGGGGTACGGTGGCTGTGCGACAAGGCCAAGGAGTGGTGCTCATCTGTGCACCTCCGCCGCACTCTGCAGGTAAGGCGCTCTGCAGGTAACGCTGTCTCCCCGACAGACCTGGTCTTCACCTGAGGACGGCTGCTTGCGTTGTGGCCGAAACGTCGTGAGAATTATTTTATTATGTTTTATTTTTTTATTATTTTATTACTTCCCTTCTACGTGACTTTGCCGAAAGAACCAAGAAGATGAATCCCTGCAGTCACGAAAGCTTTAAATCGAAATTTAAGGCGGACACTGTGACGACGGGCGCTGGGGTGGCGGCGGTTGGCACATTGGAAACACTCGTGCCTTGAAGCAAGAAAGACCATGGGTTTCCATGATGTAATCTTGATTTGAAGCTTTCGTGACTGCAGGAATTCATACTCTCTAGTTCTTTCGGTAAAGTCTCGTAGATTGAAAAATAATTATAGAAGACGACGTTTCGGTTGCAACACAAGCGTCCGTCAGATTTCAATCACATTGACATGCTAATTTTACTCTACAAAACCCCTCCCCCTTCTCCCCCCCCTCCTCCCGTGCCTATATAAAGCCACAACAGCGGATCATTCTTTCTCACCTGATGACGGACGCTTATGTTGCGACCGAAACGTCGTGTTCTATTATTATTATTTTTATCTACGTGACTTTACCGAAAGATCCAGAGAGAATAGTTTCCATTATGTACTCGGGTGTTTTTCTGCGTGGAGTTTGAACGCTCTCCCACATGTTACGCATGGGCTTTCTGGTTTCCTCCCCATCGCCAAATACATATCAATCTAAATGGTGGTGACCAATCCATTGTAAATAATAATAATATTTACTGTTTGGTTCTTTCAGCAAAGTCACGTAGAAATAAAAGAAATAAAATAATAGAATAAGACGTTTCGATTGCAACACAAGCAATCATCATCAGGTATGAATGAATGAGAAAAACAAACCTAGCAAACTCAGAAATATAATGCAATACAACACAGAGAGTCGGCTAAAATAACAGTCAACACCCCACCTGGTTGATTAACGTTCTTACAGAGATTGCTAAATTTGAGAGAGAGACAAAACATAGACACGGAGACAACATAGACAAACACACGAGCAGAGAGAGACAACCAGAGGAGAGAATACCAAAGGTGTGCTTTAATTGTGGATAATTTGACTGAGTAATAACGCTCTTTTTGACTTCAGAAGTGCGGAAGTGATCCATTGTTTTGCTTCAGAGTTCCAATTTGTATCATGTCATGACATGACCCGAGTGCTAAATTTGAGTAGGATTGGATTTTTTTTTTTTACAAATTTAAGGAATTCACCGCTGTGAGTGGCCTAAAATGTGGGTCGAGATCAATGAATGAAAAATAAAAATGAGAAACACATCTGTCATCGAGATAAATATTGCAGAAATGCCATCCTGTGCATCACTAAAAGAATTTCCAATTAAAAAGATGCAGTTACCATGGAATACTTTGATATGTATAATTTAATGAATATTTTATACGCATTTTTATATTATTATGAAGAAATATTTTTTTACATTCCTCCCTTTATTATAATTAGTGCACAGACATTAATGAATAACGACATTGCTGTAAGAGTTAATTTAATTCCTTGCCTGTCAAACTTTCACGCTTTTGACGTTGTTCTGCTCCCTTTTTACTCGGGGATATTGTTTATTTAGTTTTTTATCAGCAACATTGGCTCATTCGCAATTCCTTGTTTTCTCATGCAAATTTGACTCTGCATAACTATTGAATCATTATTGTCTGTATATGTAAATGTCTATGCGTATCTGTATGGGGAGCGGTGGCATCACCATTAGTGTCCTGCACTACGTACCCGGCAACCCGAGTTCGATTCCCGCTCATGGACAACAGCAGGTAGACTCAGCCTCAAATGAGTACCTGATGCGGTGGGTAAACATCGCCACTGGGGAGACAAAAGCGGTCGTGCGTGGTGTTGGCCACCCATTCCCATGTGTGCCGGGTTGAGCTTCATAGGTGCTCGCTAACAGCACTTACCCCAACAGTCTGTTAAATCTATGCGGGGGATCTGTGTCTGTGTGTGTGTATTTATGTCTGTGTAAGTATGTCTGTGTAAGTATTTACTGTCTGTATATCGATTATTATGTTTGCAGTTTATCCACAAACAACATATTTGATGGGCGTTTTTCAGGCACTCAAAAAATCTAAATCTCATTTCCGCAGCTCAAACAATGAACAGCACACAAAGCAATGGTTACATGTTGTTAGCGACGTCTCCACACTGCACAGAAGTGTCATGCGCGAGGAATTCCCGGTTTAGTCCTGCACAGTAACAACTTCAGTATTGGATTGTGCAATGCCAGAATTGGCTTCGTGATTTACGGTGGTTTAATGCGTGTCGTGACGGGTACTGCAAGATCCGAGATCCGACCGTGTCCGTCCAGTGCTCGCCAAACTTGGCTTCCTGTTGCTGAACAAATGCATTATACGGTCATGCTCATTGCACACAAAGTGCTTGCCAAAAATGTACCACAATACCTCGCTGATCTCATCAAGGAGCATACACCATCACGTGAACTCCGGTCATCCTCACAGCGGCTTTTTGGCTAACTCTTGAACAAAAACGGTGGTCACTGCTGTGCGCACTTTCAGATGCGCTTCTGCGGCCATCTGGAACGCTCTTCCTTCCGATATTAGGAAACCACGAGAGCTAAGCACTTTTAAATCTCATTAGAAAACTAATTTTTTTGAAGTGATTTTGGTGTTTAGTTTGTTGTCCTTTCCCCGCACCTCTGACTAGCATGGTTGGCTATGTATGGTGCGAGAGAAGTTCAACATAAATACAGGCAAGGTCAGTTTAACGCATTGTAAATTCCTGAAGTCTGATACAATTGTATGGGCACAGCCACATTTCTGTATTTTTTGTTGTCGGCCAAGTCCTCTGTTCTCCGTCTTAAAAGATGCTCCAGAAAGTAAGACGCACAGTATCAATGCAGTTATGCAAATCTGGTCACACACACACCAACGCACTTACACTTGTCAGGTTATAAGACGCACCACCACACTTTACCCTTACAAAGTAGGGAAACATTTTTTTTTGTTGACGTATAAAGATGAAAGCAGATTCATATAATCCACGTCACATACCGCCCTTTGGAACGTTGTCGCGAAAGAACAGTCGGCAAATTTGACATTGCACAAACCCTTGCAGGCACGAGCACACTGGCAAATGAAGATGAGCGTGCACATCGCATATACGCGAGAATGAGGGGGACGAATGCACTTCAAAGGAAGCGTGTAGAGGGGAGACAAGGGGGAGACGAGGCGTGTTGAGTTTTGTATTTTAATTGACTTGAAACAAGAACGACACCACAAAGAGGAACGTTGTGTTTTGTTCAGAAACACGCCTTTTGATATTCTTACTCGACACCAAATTCAAATGAACAGTAACACAGAGGTTCAATTTAAATTTACGCGGCATGGGCCATTAGATCTTTGGAACAATGTTCAGTCATTATTAAGAATCAACTGCATTCAGCACTTGATGGAAAACACGTTTCTCAAAGTGACTGTGGGATGCCGCATCAAGATAAATATGCTACATTATGGCGAAGTGACGCATTCCGTCAGAGAAAATTCGCCAATTGGCCCTGAAAACAACAACAAAAAATGGATGAAATACACTGGTAAAAAAAAAAAATTCTGGCCTGGACTTTTGCAGCTGTTTTAGACTAATTTCAGGGTGCTGATTCCAAATCTGATCTCAGATTTGCTTTATCACATCATTTTTATGCTATCGGCATACCCCATTTTCATTGATTTTACCCGAAATTAACTCTGTCACTTATGATTGCAAGTTGTTGCGAGTCAGTGACTGCTTTAGTGTTAAAATATGGTGCTGTATTTTTGATATCTCAAAAACCTGATGTGATAAACAAAAACTGACGTCAGATTTGGAATCAGCACCCCAAAATTACCTTAAACCCGTTGGAATACCTTATGCCAGAAAAAGTGTGTTGACCGGTGATATGGAACTGACAATTACAATGCGAGATAATGTATTTTTTTTAAAAGGACTACTCAACCAATACGTATTTGTACTAAATAATATTAATGAAAATAATCATCAAATCACACTTTCTTACCTTGCGAGAAAAAAGTTTACATTGTAGAAATTAGCACCACACAGAGTAATGTCTCTCTAAACATCGTTTAGCCCATCACATATATCGAGAGTGGAGTGCTGTCATCGTCATATGAAATTTTATCTGCGGCCCGAGTTCGTTTCCCGGCCACGGATAACATCAGCGTTGAGTATTATCTGAACCGGTCTCTATGCCCCTACCCTGCTTCTCTAACCCGTACTCACAAGTATAGTGAAGTATGGGCAAACAATCCCCATGATTTACGCAATCGATCAATTAAATATGCACTCAACGCTATGCTTTCTGTCGCAGAAAATGTAGACCCGTTGCAGATCTACTCGATTGATGTTGACTTGCTACAACAAGCAGCGATGCAGTCGTTCTAGTTTCCTGTCAATTACTTATATCAGAGCCCCAGCTGGGACGATGAGTAGATTAGGTGAATTCATCGTCTAAAATGTTGTAATCGACTCCTTTGTTTTGATCCATTACTGTGGTTCCTTCACATTCTGCCCACCTAAGGTAGCAATCCCGACTACAAGTCACGGCCAACGTTGCGTGGATGATGATGACGTCAAAAGCCACGCCCATCACCTCCCGTCCAGCGGCACACATAATAACAATATCTAGTTATTGTCGGAGTAATTGCACCGGTCATCGTTAATTCATTGATTACTTAAATAATCAGATTGCCCAATTATAATCAAGATCGCGAGTTTTCCTCATGCTCTCACTCGTCTTCATTGCGTCTCCTGTCCAGCCTGGACGGCGGTCTTTTACCCATCATTCTGCACAGCGCCACAGCTTCTGCCTTGTTGCAATTGCGCATTCTTGAGGAAGTGCATTGTGGTGCTGCTGGCCACCTCGGGAGGTGATCCGTGGTTTGCTTCTCCTGACAAGCACACGTTGGTCGGTTGTGCAG